CATCAGTTTTTTTTTTCTTTCAGTCCAAGTTTGGTGTGCTGGATCAGGGAGCTGGCTGCCTTCCCTGAAGTGATTCAGGGGTCCAGGTTCTACCCATCTTGTGGATCTGCCTTCCCCTAGGGTCACCATCATCATTATTATCATCACCATCATTATTACCATTATCACCAACATCACTGTCATCACCAACATCACCTTCATTATCACCATCATCATCTTCATCATGATCACCATCATCACCATTATTATCACCATCATCACCGACATCACCATCATCACCATCATCATTATCTTCATCATTATCACCATCATCACCAACATCACCATCATTGTCACCATCATCACCAACATCACTGTCATTATCACCATCCTCATCATCATTATTAGCAGCAGCAGAAGCAGCATCTGCACTCAATAGGTGGAAGGGATTAAAAAAGCATGGAGATCACATTATAGCCACAGCCTAGAATCGACAGACTTTTCACTCACATTTCATTGTTGAGAACCAGTCACATGCAAAAACCCTCTGCAAAGGATGCTGGGAAATGTAGTCTTGCTGTGCACTTGGGAAAAAGAGGGGAACAGGAATTTTGGGGAAGAGTACACAGAATCTACCGTAACTGGATTTTTTACGAAATCTTCTATGTGACCTGACATTTGATTCTTTTTTCCCTCTAACATTTGATTCAAATGAAGGCATCTCAAGTTGCCTTTCATATAATAACCACAGCTAACTAGCCACAGACTTTAGGAACTCTTGTTACTTCGGAGTGGTTGTGCTAAGCATTACTACGGTAAGTTTTCTTTCTCCATTGCAAGAGGCAGGATTTTTCCAAGAAAAGTGAGGAAGCATTATAGCTAAGGCCGTTATTCTGATTAATTCTACGATGATCTAATACCAGGGGGTGGCAAACCACTGCCCACGGGCCACACCTGGCCTGTGTCTGTCTATACAAACAACGTTTTATTGGAACACAGGCATGGCCACTCATTAATATATTGTCTGTGGCTGCTTTTGCCCTTCACTGCAGGGTTGAGTTTTGCAACAGAGACTGTGTGGCCTGATTTTGAAGATATCTGCATCTCCTTAACAGGAAAAGCTTGTACACGAGTGGTCTTCAAACAGGGTACTTAAGAACCAAGGGGTGTTTTGAGTCCTCCATGGGGGGATGGCTCCTCACAACCCTTTGACAAGGGCAGCTCCATCTTGATCTCATCTCTCTAGAGGGTTCTGTATAAACTGCCACTGGGAAAAGTCAAGTTTGGAACTGATCACATGAAACCATTAATGTCCCAAATGTGAAGGAATTGGATCCTGGGCTTCCTCCCTTTTGGGAAGCCTCAAAAAGTCACCTTTACCTAGATGGTGGAGACTGAGGGCATGAACCTCCAGCTAGGAGTCACAACATTCTTGCACTCATTCATTCAAAAGCATTCGTTCAACACCCCACATGTGTGCAGGGGGCAGACAGGGAGTGCACATCACAGACGAGGTCTGACCCTCAGAGAGCCTGCAGTCTGACGGAGGGAAGGCAGACCACGTGTAAATAGACACAGCACCGATATGTTATACAGTCTCGGCTGGAGGAAATAAGCCCTGGCAGTGGACGGTGGGTGATGGAGTCCTCTTTTATTTAGGAAGACCCGGGAATGTCTCCTGAGGAGGTGACCTGGATTTGGATAAGGACAGAAAGTCACAGGGAGATCTGGAGAGTGTCAGGGCAGCTATAACAGCAAAAACAAAGCTTTCCAAGCACGAAGGTGGCCTTCCAAGCATGCTTCCACACAACCTTCCAGAACTGTTCTCTGTTTGCGCCCCAGTCTGTGCGTTAGTGCAGGCTGGTGTCTTGTATGTGCATCTAGAAGATCGCCTGCCTTGTTTTTTCTATCCACCTGGAAAAAACGCTTCCTCGTTATCATGTAATACTCAGTTCAAAGGCAGCAACTTTCGTGACGCTTTCTACGACCCGAGGTGGGATTTCCACTCACTCCTTTTCTTCCACTGTATCTTGAACGTTTATGTTCCCAGTGCTTTATTTCTGTGTTTTTGTGGACATAAGGAGAGGGACGGTTTAGGTCTGACTCTCCATCTTATCTCCAGGCATCGTGCATCGTGACCTATCCATCGTGATACTTAATGATTACTAAATGCGATTATGTGTATCCCTTAGAAAAATAAAATGATAGCTGAACGTTTACTTGGAACGCTGTTCCAAATACTTAACACGTGTAAGCTCATTCGGTATGCACATAGCTGTATGAGTTAGAGACTCTTATTATTTATGGAAGAAGATGCTGAAACACTGGAAGGTTAGAGTAATGTGTCCAGAGTCCCACGTACATAATAATCATAACACACAAGCATAATAACTAGTGTTTATTATGTTACCGCTAAGCATTTAATGTGGACTGTTTCATTTAATACTCATGCAACCCTCTGGAGGAAGTACTGTTAAGATATTCATTTTGCAGAGGGGGGAATCAGAATGCAGGAAGGTTAAATAACTTGCCCCAGAATGCGTGGCTAGGGTAGGGCAGAATTGGGGTTCAAATTCATACGCACATGCTTCCAGAATCTTTGTCTTCACCCCCACGCTTGAATGTGGTGTGTTGGCACCAGAAAGGGATTAAAAAAAAAAAAAGACCAGCACCACCTTGTTATAAAGCTGACTGCTCAAGGTAAACATTCAGCAGACGCCACCAATGCTGTGTCCTTGGAGATGCTTTGTGTGCCGGGTGCGGCTGCATCTTGCTCCTCAATTCCCTGCCCGGAACCCTGTGTTTACTTCTGCTGTTGTCCGCCCATTAGATGAGGCATGAGCACAGCCATCCACAAAAGCAGAGTTATAGGGTGAGGACGCAACACCGAGAATGCATCAGGGTTATTTATAGTCCAGAGTTCCGGGCTGAAAAGGTGGCTGGCGTGGAGCCTAATCATTTCCCGGGGAACTGGGGAGAACAGGGGACGGTGGCAGTAAAGAGCTCCCAGAGGGTCAGGGTGGCACACCAATTAAAATAACTTCCAGACACTTAACACGCACGGCGCTTAGCTAGAGACCCATGCGTGTTCGGCCGGGAAGGAAAAATATCTTCTGATGTCTCCCCTTAAGCAGAGAGGCAGCCTGTCTGATACTGTTGTTGCAACACAACTCTAATTTAAATTCCAGACTCTGTGATAATGAGTTGGCGGCCCCATCGCTCTGGCTGGCATATCTCGATATAACGGAAAAATGTCCAGTCTGATTTGACTCTTTAAATAGCTGTCGATGCTAAGCTTCACGTGAAAGCGGGGAGGGCTTGGTGTGGGACCCTCTTTCTGCAGACCAGTTTGTGAAACTCCAGCAATTACTGTTCAGTCGGTTCCCCGGTGACCTCTTTTCTCATTCAATGCATGGCTTTCTGCTTCGTTAGGACTCTGTAGGTTGCAATAGGCAGAATTCTAACTCAACTTGGCTCGAACAAAGGCAAGGAAGATACGAAGAATTTATTTGTGCTCATGAAACCGAAGAGTTTCAGGGTGGGACTGGCTTTTCGGCTGTGCCTAGACCTTGGATGTCCCCGTGAAGCTGTTTCTACACATCTCAGAACTGCTTTCAGCTTTGTTGGCTTTATTCTCAGGGCCATCCATATCGATCACGGAAACTCCAGACTTACACCCACTGTATGAGTTTCCCGGAGCTGCTGTAACAAGCTCCCACAAACTGGGAGCTTGCAACAAGAAAAGTATAGAAGCCAGAAATCAAGGTGTTTGTAGGGTGAGCTCCTTCTGGGGACTCTGACGAAGAGTTCCTTCCATGCATCTATCTTAACTTTTAGTGACGGCCAGCCACCCTTGGCTTGTGGCTGCATCACTCCAATCTCTTCTTCTGATGTCACATGACTTTCTCTCTGGGTCTCTTTCTCCAGCTCCTTTTTCTTACCAGATCACTAGTCTTTAGATGTAGGGCCCATCTAAAATCCAGGATGATTTTACCTCAAGAGCCTTAGCTACACCTGCAAAGACCTCCCCCCTTCCCAAATAAGGACACATTCCCAAGTACCAGGGGTTTGGACCTGGACGTTTCTATCTGAGGACACCGACCACCATTCACCGCACGTACCGATGTGTCACCCTCAACACAAACAGAGCAAACCTCAGAAGTCCTGGGCTGATGCTCATCCGCTCCGAGGACCCAGTTTAAGGCCTAACTCCACATCTCTGCCAATCACTGCAGCTAGAAGGATTCAGTGCACTCACTGGCCAGTCTGAGGACGTGGGCCAATGCCAGATAAAGGTCATATCAGTTGGACAAACACACGGATCAAATAAAGCATCTTGAGAGGTGCTTGAAGAAGACGTACACTCACTTAATGTGAATGAATTGATTTTAAAAAATAAATAACTGAAGAGCTGGAGGAAAGCGAACTGGGAAGAAGTTGCCACGAAAAGTGCTCCCTCTTTGTTGCCAAGTTTATGTTGGGCAAAGGTGCTTGCTGCGTGTTTCGGGCCACTAAAAGCTCCAGGAGTGATATATTGGTTTGGGTGGGTGTCTGTGGGGAAAGGGAATATTTATGGAACATGTGAATCTTTTACTGAGTTGTAGGCATTGTAGGAGTTTCTTGGATTAAAGGAAGGAGAAGTCAATGAACATGTGAATGAGAAATTGTACAAAAGGATGAATGAGTGAATAAGTAGGTGGGCGTGTCCCCCTGCCCCCCAGTTTCCCTATTGTGCTTGGATTTTTGCCTTTTTATTAAAATCATGATAATCAGTGTCACTAATGTGCTTAAAAATTATCACACAACTCCAGGCATAGAGCAAACGTGGAATTCAGTTTTGGTGGTTTTTGTCCACGATCTTTTTCTGACAGGTTTGGGCAACACAGTGGGTTCTTAGAAGGTGCTAGTTAATGCCCTTGTTCTCTTAGGAAGCTCTTTCTCTGGACTCTTTCACACCCTTCCACGTTGAAAGAAACAGCTATTTATGGCCATGATCCATCTTTACAAAGCTTCTTTGACCAAATGCGTTGTTTAATGACCTTGGTTCGTCTGCCGCTTATACGCGTATATTAAGCACCTCCTAGGTCCCAGGCAGTGTTATGAGATCTGGGAACTGGCTGGTGAAATGGCAAAGGTTCTCCCCTCCCTGTACCCTCCCCTCCCCAGCAGCTTACGTTTCAGTGGGAAGAGATCAAAATATACATGCAAACAAATTAAGTTGATAAAGAGGATTACAGGGGAGAAGGGGTGCTTCATGAAGGAAACAGAGCTAACTTGAATGTTGGAAGCACTGTTGGCTAGGCTGCCGTGGTGAGGGTGGGGAGCAGAGACCACTCCCACGAGAGACTATGAAACCCAGCGATGGGGAAGGTACCTGCTCGTCAGTTTTATGCAACTAATAACGAGTCTGTGCTGCATATTATTGCTACATGCAGATTCTGTTCTGTGGCCCATCTCCCAATGCCATGCCACGGAGAAGGAAGATATGGGTGGGGGGGATACACAAGTATGCGAAGTAACACAACCTGCGTGGGAGGGAGGAGGTAAGTCACAACCATGGCCAGCGTGGTGACTCACTGTCCTACAGAGGAAGGCAGGGGAGGACACCTGGGGTCAGTGAGACGTCTGATCCCTTCCTTTACAAAGCTGCGGGGTGGGGGGGGGTTGGAGTTCGTCTTCAGAGTTCTTAAAGGAAAGGAAAAAGCCTGTCCCTGGCGTATTTTAAATTCCTGGCTGTTTTTCCGGTTGCGGTAAGATCAGGGCTGTAGCCTTGATTGTGTCCCAGGGGGCTCAGAAGTGCATGATGATGGTGAGTTAACCATGGACCTTCTGAAGCTCATACAATGCCGTCCACAGAACGGAGCATCTTGCCTTCCACTTACTCCTGTTTTGTTCACAGTGATGTTCTGTCCCTTAAGAGTTATGACATGTTTACTTTGTATGCTTGTTGCAAGACCATCTCTTATTTCCAAAGGAGTCACAGGGAAGATGTGTTTTAAATGAAAGTGAATAGGATTTTTTTTTATTTTTGAGGGTGGGAGAGTTTTGTGACATTTTCTTTGAGGTCACTGAAAACTTCTAGAAGTGATTGTAAAACCATGACGGGAAAAGAATTGCCGGATCCCCTTCCTGTAATTTTAATGTCAAGCCCAGGAGGCTCGTTTGAAATGAATTCTGTTGTTTATTCAGTAAACACCTAGGAGACATGCACCAGGTAAACCACCATGAAAGCCCCCCAGGGACCAGCCTTGTCTTCTAAGAAATTAACTCCCAATGGGTGGCGAGAGAGAGGCACATTCTCAAAACAATTTCACAATCAGTTATTTAACTGCAGTTGGGTTAAGGGCTAAAGTGAGAAGTAGAGAAAAACAAGACAAATTAAATAAGGAAGATTCCCCAAAACAGAGCTTTTTTCCCTCACCCCTGTAGCCGCAGAGTTTGAGACAGAGTAGACGCTTGCCAACAACAGTAACAATTTGAAGGAATGAATGAGCATGTGGCAGGTATAGACTCGCCCATTAGGAATCTTCCTGGAGCCAAATTGCCAGTTATAAAAAGGGACACAAAATCCAGGCTCCTCTGCTTTTTTTAGGTACTTCTGATGGAATCAACTCATTTTGTTAGAACTTAAATAAAGCATTCTTTCGCTTTTTCCAGTCTTAATCTGATGCTCCCTAAGTTCACTCCAACTAAAGTGGAAGCCAGCCTTGTCATGGTTTGCAGAACTGGGTGGTTTAGAAAAAAAAATGCAGAGCAATCTGCCTTATCAGTATCTCTTCCAATTAATGTAATCTTGTTTCTGTTATTTCCACCATATTTTTCAATCCAGCGAGCCTCATTACATTTGCAAGTGCATTAAATTAGAGCCTCTATAGAAGGAGAATGATGATTATCAGCTAATTTAATTATGTCTCTACATTTGCAGCATTTAATGATGTCTGCCATTGTTGGGGGGTTCTTCCATCGGCTCCAGGTAGAATTAGCACTGATCCCATGTAAAGTTTACGTTATCAGATAAAGCTTGACAGCTCACTGAGGTGCCTGTTCAGTAATTTTTGAATCTAATCAAAATTGATTTATGTGCAATCAAATTACAGGAATAAAGAAACAGCTTCACACCGTTTAGTTGCTGATTAGAGTGTTGCCTGCCTCTGAAGTCGCACCAGCGTGCATCTCTTAGTTTCATACCAACATTTCATCAAGCTCTAAAATTCTGTGCTGGCTTCTTCTTTTTTTTTTTTTTTTCTTTCTGCTTCTTCTTCTTCTTCTTCTTCTTCTTTTTTTTTTAATTTTCACATTGCATGTGGTTGGGTACTCCTGATCTTCTGATGTAGATCAGATTGACCATTTGTGCCCCCATCAGATTGCATTTTGTGTCCTGTCCAGCAAACGTCGTCTGGATGTCCTTCAGTGTCACCCAGGAGCCTTGCACTAGACGCCTAGATGGCTCCTCCCAGTAGGAGGGAAGGTCCCCAGGAACAGAGAGTGCTCAGGAGTTGGTGCTGAGGTTGGAGGGACCTGATTCATCATCCTTCCTCCTTCCCTAAGGAGTCTCACCTGGGTCAAAAATAGATCCACAAACCCAGTGGGAATTAAAGGACAGAATTCTGTTTATTACCCAGGGGACAGTGCTGCTTTTATATTTGCTTGGCAGACACTTATTTAATAGTTATGGTGTGCCGGGTGCAATCTGAAGGATTTGACAAACAGAAACCCACTTCATTGTCCGAACGGCCTAAAAACAAAATAGTGTTCTCCTCCTTACCCCCATTTTAAAGATGAAGAAACTGAGGGACAGAAAGCTGGGCTATTTTGCCCAGGGCTGCCCAGCTGGCGTGTGAAAGAACCAGGATTCTGATCCAGATGGTCTGGCTCCAGAGTTCATTGACCCTAAACATGATGCCCTGTTGCTTCTCCAGAAGCTGAAATTGGCTGTCACCCCAGCCCCTTTATCCCTGCATCTAGACCTTGGGAGTAGCTGGAGGGCACAGATTCACCTCTCCCCACAGGGGAGTGAGACGCAAAGAGAGGGAGCCTGAAGCTAGCCTCTAGAAGGTGGGGCTCTGGCCCCTGTCCTAGGTGAGCTTACCTCTCCTAGGTGTTCTTGCCTGTCCGAGGTGCGCTTACCTGTCCTAGGTGCGCTTACCTGGG